ATTGAAATTATTATTTTTGGTTGAAAATATTAATTTTGATTGAAATTATTATTTTTGATTCAAGATGCTTTTTGTTTGATTGAATCATAAAAACACAAATTTACCTCCATATAGTTGGTACCACATATTAAGTGCTGAATACCTTTGATGAAACTGATTAAGATAAATGAAAAAGAGACAAAACACGGAGATGAAGAACAACAGAAGAACGCTGTTGGAGCACTGGCAAAAGGTAACAGTAAAACTGAACAAAAGATAAACTCAGCACAATATAGCTCAAGTAAAAAAAAACTGAATCTAAAGCTTTAGGTTGCTGAACATGTGCCAAATTAAGAACACGCAAAACAGCTGCTAAAATGAGAAAAATGGATGTTTACCTTTGTAAAACTGTAGCTGAAAGTAAGCAAAAACAGTAGCTAAAAACCCACATTCAGCTAAAAATCTGCTCAATAGTAGCTAAAATCAGTACAATCAATAGCTAAGAAAAAAATCTAAAAAGTAAATAAAAAATCTAAAGCAAAAATATCAACAAAACAGATGTTTATCTTTCTAAAACTATCTCAAAGTAGCAAAATATGCAAAGCTAAAGTTAGCGAAAACAATAGTTAAAATCCAAATTCAACACAACAGCGAGAAGCTAAAATCAGCACAAAAGTTGTGCAAAAGCAAAAACAAAATTAGGAAACAGTAGCTAAAATATTAATAAAACTTGTGTTTATATTTCTAAACTACTTAAAAGTAGGAGAACAGGGGCCAAAGCTAAATGCTAAACTAAAGTCGGCATAAACAGCAACTAAAGCCAAATTCACCACATTGGCTATAAGTTAAAATCTGTACAAAAGTAGGTATAAGCTAAAAGTAGCATTATAGAAGCTAAAAAGATAAACATAAAAAAGTACCTAAAGATAAAATTAGCAAAACAGTGTGAATGCCGACTCAGCATTCGCATAATTTATTAATAAGTTTTTGAAATCAATCTCAGACACTTCAGATTATTTCCATTATAATTGTTTGTGTTTTTTGTTGTATGTGAATATGTTTGGTTGAATGTGTTTAATTAATTAATTATCTGCAAACGATAAAACACAAGTAAGAATGTCAGCCTGTTGATGTACGGATGCTTTAATTTGCTYCTTGTGATTTTCCTTTGATCCGTTGTTTATAATTTTTCTCTTTTCCTCTGTACTTCTTCTCGTCTGTGAGAGGTTTCATTGAGAGTACGCAAAACATTTATAAACAAATGTGTTCATTAATCATGCAAGCTGATCCGGCTCACGCTSTCATGTCTCCCCACAGACGTGTCAGAGGCCTGTTTGTGATTTAAGGCCCAGGAAAGTTGTTGATTTCCACCACAATGCCCCCTTCCTCACTTTCACGCACATAAAACTCTGTCGGACCATCTAAATATAGTTTTCCTGGTCGCACGGGCCGGTCCAGGCATGGTGTGTCCAGTCCGGGGCGTTTGAGCGAGTCCGTTCTCAGCGCAGACACAGTTAGCAATCCCACGAGAAAGTCTTGGATAGAATTTCCCCCCCAGTGCCTTCAGTGTTATTAATAAACAGAAAAGGTGGCTGTGTTTTCTACACAGACACAGAGAGCTWCTTGAAGCTAAAATCAAACTCTACTCAAAGATACTGGAGCTTCTGATGTGAAAAAGGTAAGTAAAATGTGWAGAAACTGTTAAATGTGGTAAAGAACATAAAAAGAGGTTTTTTATGTCATGAGTTAATGTTGATTATTAGTAGATTGATGACATCAGCCTGTTTTCTCATTTTCAGCTCATCATGAGCGMTCAAAGACCAGCAGAGGACATGGAGGATATCTCAGAAAACACCCACAGTACATTAAAGATGGATCCAGCAGATCTGAACGCCCTGGGGGAACTTTTCGAGCACCGGATCCAGCAGGTGTCCGGTCTGGAGAGGCAGAGAGACGAGCTGACCGGGGAGCTCCTCGCTCTGCGGGAACCCGTCCTGCGGGTCGTGGAGCTCCTCAGGGGGAGGCTGGTGAAGGCCCAGAGGCTGCTCGATCTGGCTCAGCTGGATTATAAGGCTGTTTATGAGGAGGTGCTGCAGGTGAAGAGGAAACTGTTCACCACAGCCAGAGACTGCATCCAGAACCAGGTGACCCTGGCTGCACAGCAGTATGACGTGGCCCAGTCCGCTGTCACACAGGTATAAACTAATGATGAGCAGTGTCTGTGATTACTCACTGTTTTCTTCACACTTGTCTTTTTTTTAATAAGACATGTGTAAAACTGTGGCTTTGTGAGCCCTAAATACAATCAAGATGCCAATAATTACACTTTTATGCAGTAAAATATTAATCAGTAAAAGTAAAACGACAATTACACAAAGAAAGTTTATCTTATATGTTTTTCAGTACTTATTTATGGAGCCCCAAGTGTGAAATTAAATGTTAAAGGGATCCCTGATTAGTTGTAACATTAGACTTTATTTAATAAACATACATTTTAACTGTTAAATAAAGACTGTAAAAATACTGTAGGCTGTTTAGTTTTGTAAATTTTGTGAATCTTTAGTTTAAAAATGATAAAATCTGAACATCCTACAGTATTTCTAGTCTTTATTTTACAGATAAAATAAAGTGTAATGTTACAACTAATCAGGGATCCCTTTAAAACATGGTGTCACTAACACATTTTTATTATTTAGCTCACATTCTGAGTGTAAAATGTTATTTTATCTGTATTTAGCTCATAATTGTTCTTACATTTTGTTAACTTTTACTAAATTATCATGACTTTTATTGTAAATCACACCACTTTTAGCTATTGAAAACTGTCGGATTATAGATCATGTTGTGCACATTGTAATTCTTATGAGTTCCTTCCATCAACCTGCTGGGGGACTACAGATGAAAATGAGCTTTTTTGGCTAAATCTGGCATATTTTCATGATGTATTTATGTTGATTAATACGCATTGTCCCCTTTACGAAACACAAATTCAAATGTTAAATTTAAATCTTTAACGTTGTGGCTAAATGTTGAAGTTTACTTTTAAGTATTTCAGARTGGAACACAGCCTATTGCTGGTGCTGGTTATTATGATGTCATCATCCTGAGACAATAGCAACCGCTAACAATGCTAACACTGCTACACTACAAGACATCAAACTTGCAGTTGTGGCTAATGTCAAACCACCGGACCACCTGGATTTACAATGTATTATTTATAATAAGTTATGGACTATTTTCTAGACAATCATGTTGTAACTCATCATATCTTCCGTTATTTTTTTTTCTAGAATAAAAATCCACATCTGTTGCAAACGTTGCCTTTTCTATGAAACACTGCATGAAAGACCGAAATCGAATGAATTGTCAACAGTCTAGCGAAAAACGAATGGAAAGGATCGTGTTTCCGGGACAGATCRGGCAGCCGTTAGCAGTATTAGCGTTAGCGTTTGTCTCAGGATGATGACATCATAACATAAGCCGAGCGCCAACAGCAGAAGCTACGTTCCGTTCTGAAATACAGAAACGTAATCTGTCATTTAGCTGCAACGTTTAAGATTTAATTTATATATTTACATATATTAAACATTAACATTTAGTAAAAAAAATAGCTAAATGTAAGAACAGTGAGCTAAATAATAAAATATTAGTGGACATTTCTTAACTTTGMTTTTACACTCAGTGAGCTAAATAATGAAAATGTGTTAGTGACATTTTATTTTACACTTATTGTAGAAAAGCACAATTAACGAGAACAATATTTGTTTTTTAATTAAATTATCTAGAGCTAAAATCCTAAGTCTAGTAAAGCTTCATTCATCTTGAAAATGTATTTAATGATTTTATTTGTTCTAATCGAGTTGTTTTTTTATTTACAGGAGGAGCTGAAGGCGCACCTCCAGCACCTGACCCAGGAGCTGGCCCAGCTGCAGGTCACTCATCAGAACCAGTTGAACTTGATCCGGGATCAGGCCTCGAGACCCCGCAGGCCCAGAGCCATGAGCGACGTCAGCCAGTGCCGGAGGGCGTCCCTCAGCCTGCAGCGGAGGCTCAGCGGCAGCGTGAGGGACCTGGAGGACCGGTACGAGCCCAGGCTCATGGCCCTGCTGAAGAGGAGGCAGTTCGGGGAGGATGCCGTGAGGAGCTGCAGGGAGCAGGCGGCGGACCTGAGAGCCCGCCTGGGGCCCCTGGTAGAGGACATGCAGAGGCTGGAGACGCAGAGGTCCTTCCTGGAGAAGAGGATCCGTCTCATGGAAACACAGAGGGAGGAGAGCGTCACACATCACCAGGTACGACTCATCTTATCAAACGTGGAAGAGGAGGAGCTGAAACGTCTCGTCCGCACAGGAGACGGTGGAGAGACTCCAGGAGACGCTGAGAGATCTTCAGCTGGAGTTTGAAGCTCAGAAACAATCAAGAGGAGATTTGGAGCAACTCACAAAAGGCCTCAAAGCAGAACTCACAATCCTGAGGTAAAACTGGTCCGAATCCTTTTCAATTTAATGAGAAAATAAAATGACAAATGAGAAATGTTGTATTGCAGAGGACCGGATGAATCCAATGACGCCTCCGCTGAAGACGACCAAACGTCCAGCGATTCAACTCACTACCAAGAAACAAGACATACAGCTTTACTGTAAATATTTTATTATGAATATACTTAGGTACACAAAAGATCAGATGCAGCACAGAAACACAAAATGCAGAAATGAAAACACACACTCTGGAAAACTACCATAAAAGGAGAACCTACAGTATGTACAGCTGGTTTCAAAATGGATCGTCATGTTCTCTGCWCAACTAATATTATTAAAAAATAATCAAATTTCAACCTTGAATGAGAGCAGACACGCACGTCTGACGGATTCTTTACAAACCAGAAGTGATTTTTATTAAGAAAACAATCAAATTTAAAAATCAGAACGAAAACAAGACATTTTAAATATGTCACGACACGACAGTGCAGAGGTTTATTCTTCCACTTTCTACAAAAAAAAAAAAAAAAAAAAAGCTTTGTAAAAGGATTTGATGATGTCAGCGTGCAGCGCCTGAAAACCCGGATCCGTTCCGTAAACAGGTGGAGAGGAGGGGTTGTGAAAACCGAATTTACGCCTGGACCTCCGAGTCTGCAGCTCCCTCTGGGTCCTCGTCGTTGTAGATGTTCTCAGCCTGTGGAGCGCAGCACACGTCCATCACCACCACGCTTCATTTAACGCAACRAACCGCTGCACACCCAGATAACACCTTACCATTTGCCACACTTGCATGATGTTGTCCTCCGACACGGAGCAGATGACCCACGGCTCGTTGGGGTTCCAGGAGAAGTCCGAGATCTTGGCCGTGTGTCCGCCGTGGATGAACTGAGGACACACAAAGCAGCGGAGGTCATCAGGTTATTAAAGGGGAGGTCATTGGAGCAGATTCGAAAAGGCGCCACCCACCAGCAGCTCGGGAGGACCGTCCTCCGCATCTTCTGGCGACTGCTCCTCCCCGATCTTACTGAGGTCCCAGACGTTGAGCCGCCGGTCGGTGCCGCTGGAGGCGAGGATGGTCTCGTTATGAGGAGACCACTGAACCTGTAAGACCAGAAGTCAGAGCTGTTCAGAGCTACGAAACCAGGCGGCAGCATCGTTTCATGTGTTCAACTGAAACATGCAGGACGTGTCGAGCTGGAGAGCGCTGTAAGAACACAGATTATTTGAAGACAGCAGAGCGATGACTGGCGGCAAGCTTATAATAGTTTTGGATTTTTCATCATAGTTTAGTTTTATCTCGGGAATTTTCCCCCCCTTTTAATTCAGTTTTAATCAGTTTTTATAGTGAATTTGATAGTTCTAGTATTGTTTTTTTTTTAAATATTTAATTTGCCAAAGCATCCTCCAGCTTGTGATGTTCCTGTGAGTTAACTAACAAACAGCTATTTGGTCACTAGTTAAAGCAGTCCATTATAACACCKTACTAAAATAATTGTGTAACTCAATTTTGCCAACTAAGGACTTGGGCGATTATTTTAAGATGATAATAATTGTCTCCAACTCGGTGCTACCTGTTGCTTGTTTTTCACAGGAGCTACTGAGAGAAGCTAGCATGTCAAGATAGTCATAGTTAGCCATCTTGTGTGAGTTTGATTCATGCAGTCTTGAGAAGTATTCCTCCTGTTTTATCACCTGTTTCCACCAAACACACTTGCTTTGATTTTTCTTGCAGTCATTTTCAAAGAAATCCCAAAATGGACTTTACCTGCTTTTGTTGTTGTCATTTGACAGACRATGCTGAGCAGCAGCAGACTGTAAACAAGTGCTGTTACGGACCACAGCTAATGTGAAACTACTCAAAAAAGACTAAAACTAAGGATATTCTATCTATAATTTCAGTTAGTTTTATAAAAAGTTTATACAGCTTTAGTTATCTTTTTTTTTCATTTTATTACAGTTTTATTTATTATAGTTAACTAATATGTTTTTTTCAATTTCAGTTTTCGTAATTTAGTTTTAGTTAAATATAATAACCCTGATTGGCGGTGTCATTTTTGACGTGTCATATGCTGCTATTTGGAGTTACCTGGATGCTGATTACTGAGATGAATCACATTATTATTGAGGTGTTGCACACAATTACTGTTTTTATAAGTCCAACGTGTTTATGGGGCCCAATGATACATGGACGAAATCGCTGACTTTAACAAGCCAGTACAAAACGCAGAATCTCAGAGTTCGCTCATTTGAGGCGAGCAAGTACAGCTTTTGAGGTATTTTGGTGAACTCTTGTCACCTGGTTACACACACACAAGAAAATTAAACAAAACAAAACCAAAAAAGGTCAGCTAGGAAAATGCTCGCTGAAACACCAACATCCATCCATCCATCCATTTTCTGTACACGCTTCTTCCTTTTCAGGGTCGCGTGGGTCACTGGTGYCCATTTCCAGCAGTCACAGTGCGAGGGGYGGGGTACACCCTGGACAGGTCGCAAGTCCATCACAGGAAACACCAACATTCTCCAAATAAAAAAGTGTGAAACTCAGCACAAAGTTTAGGGCAGAACAACCAGCTGGTCGAGGCAGATGACCGCCTGCCCTGAGCCTGGTTCTGCTGGAGGTTTCTTCCTGATTAGCAGGGAGTTTTTCCTCTCCACTGTTTGCTCAGGATGGGAGACTGTGATGAAGTGATTCAACACAGCCTGCTGGTTTCTTCTTTAGATTATTCTTTTTATGTACAGTGCCCTGAGACAACGTACAGTGGTTTGCAAAAGTATTCATACCCCTTGAACTTTTCCATATTTTGTCACATTACAACCACAAACATAAATATATTTCACTGGAATTTAATGTGAAAGACCAACACAAAGTGGTATACAATTGTGAAGTGGAAGCAAAATTTTACATGAATCAAAACATTTTTTACAAATAAAAAACTGAAAAGTGCGACGTGCAAAAGTATTCAGCCCCCTTTTCCCTGAGTGCAACCAATTGCATTCAGAAGTTGCCTGATGACTGCYAATGACTCAAAAGGGTCCACCTGTGTGTAATCTAATCTCAGTACAAATACAGCTGCTCCGTGACGGCCTCAGATGTTGGTTAAGAGAATATTGGGGAGCAAACAGCATCATGAAGTCCAAAGAACACACCAGACAGGTTAGGAATATGGTTTTGGAGAAGTTTAAAGCAGGCTTAGGTTATAAAAAGATTTCCCAAGCTTTGAACATCTCACGGAGCACTGTTCAATCCATCATCCGGAAATGGAAAGAGTATGGCACCACAGTAAACCTGCCAAGACAAGGCCGTCCACCTAAACTTACAGGCCGAACAAGGAGATCACTGATCAGAGAGGCAGCCAAGAGGCCCATGGTGACTCTGGATGAAATGCAGAGAGCCACAGCTCAGGTGGGGGAAACTGTCCACAGGACAACAATTAGTCGTGCACTACACAAATGTGGTCTTTATGGAAGAGTGGCAAAGAGAAAGCCATTGTTAAAAGAAAACCATAAGAAGTCCCGTTTGCAGTTTGCCAGAAGCCATGTTGAGGACACAGCAAACATGTGGAAGAAGGTGCTTTGGTCAGACGAGACCAAAATTGAACTTTTTGGCCACAATGCAAAACGCTATGTGTGGCGGAGAAAGAACACTGCACATCACTCTGAAAACACCATCCCCACTGTCAAATATGGTGGGGGCAGCATCATGCTCTGGGGGTGCTTCTCTTCAGCAGGGACCGGGAAGTTGGTCAAAGTTGATGGGAAGATGGATGGAGCCAAATACAGGGCAATCTTGGAAGAAAACCTGTTGGAGTCAGCAAAAGATTTGAGACTGGGGCGGAGGTTCACCTTCCAGCAGGACAACGACCCTAAACATAAAGCCAAAGCTACAATGGAGTGGTTTAAAAAAAAGAATATTCATGTGTTAGAATGGCCCAGTCAAAGTCCAGACCTAAACCCAATTGAGAATTTGTGGCAAGATCTCAAAACTGCTGTTCACAAACGCTCTCCATCCAATCTGACTGAGCTTGAGCTGTTTTCCAAGGAGGAATGGGCAAGAATTGCAGTCACTAGATGTGCAAAGCTGGTGGAGACATACCCTAAAAGACTTGCAGCTGTAATTGCAGCAAAAGGTGGCTCCACAAAGTATTGACTCGGGGGGGCTGAATACTTTTGCACGTCGCACTTTTCAGTTTTTTATTTGTAAAAAATGTTTTGATTCATGTAAAATTTTGCTTCCACTTCACAATTGTATACCACTTTGTGTTGGTCTTTCACATTAAATTCCAGTGAAATATATTTATGTTTGTGGTTGTAATGTGACAAAATATGGAAAAGTTCAAGGGGTATGAATACTTTTGCAAACCACTGTATGTTGTGACTTGGCGCTATATAAATAAACTTGAACTTGAACATTAACACCACAGTGATATTTATGAATGTGGAGAACTTATCTGTAAGTTTCACAAACTCTCCTTATTTCTGTCTGACAGCAACACAGCTACAGCTCCAAGTCTTACCTGGAAGATCTCGTCTTTGTGAGATTCAAATGAGTGAAGCTTCAACTTCAGGTTTCTCAGATCCCAAAGGGCCACAGTCTGCAAACAAAAAGCAAAAAAGAAAAAGTAATCAGCAGATAGAACCAAACCTGGTGTTTTTTTCAGCACCGGTGTCACGTGGTTAATTTTGACAGGATCAATAAGCTCCAGCCTTAACCGTACCAGAATAGTGGCATGAGAAGCGCCGACACGGTGCACGCTGCGTTGTTAAAAAAACAAACACATACTGAAAAGAACTGTGTCGGATTTGAAAAAGTAAATCAATGATTTAACTTTCAGACTGCCATGAWAAAAAAAAATCCAACATCTTCTGCCTCCATTTTACATATAATAGTAAAAAAACAAAAACAAAAAAACCCTGACACGCAGTTAATGCAATCAAATTAAAGTCGCATGAGCAAGAGGCTTTATTGTAATGTCCTATATTGTTCTAAAATAAAAGCATTACATAGTCAGATTGTTTTTGTTTTTACTCCCAGAGAAAAGCATCGATAAGAGTAGAAGTATCGTTAAAATCTTAATGATGCCCATCCTCAGCAGCGACCCGATGGACGGTCCTACAGAACCCACCTTATCAGCAGAGCCGGTGGCCAGGATGAACTCGCTGTAGGGGTTGAAAGACAGGCAGTTGACCTCAGCGGTATGGGCGTCCACTGCATGGCTTGGTTTTGAGGTGTTGTTGGACCGCGTGTCCCAGCTGTTACACAGAAGACACAACTGTTCGAGGAGAACCATTCAGAACCCACAGTGGTCTGTGGGGTACGTGTCAAAGCTACTTGCATCATAAGTTTCTGGTCGTCTGCCACAGATCCAAAGAGCGATTCGTGGAGCAGGTGCCAGGAGACGTCCTCCACCACGGCGGTGTGGCCTGTGAAGATCGTTTTGGCGTCCACAATCTTCCCCTCTTTGGGAACTGTGCTGATGTCCCACAGACAAATAGTCTGAAAAGGATAAAAATGCACACATTAGCAGTAGAAAATGTAACATTATTATTGAAAAATACAAAATAATTTCTTACATGGTCATCAGAAGCACTTAGGAGGCATCCGCTGAGGTTTGGGTTCCAGGAGAGGCCGTAGCCCTCCTTCTGATGGCCCCTGAGACGCAGATCCGGGGTGCATTCTCCAGATGGGTCTTAAATAMGAAGACGTGAAGATTCAGACACAACACTTGCTGCAGACTTTTAGAGACKAATCAGAACATGTTTGTGACGTCACCTGGTTTGGAGGGGTGTTTTGTGTAATCAAAGACCAGCACGTCGCTTGTGGGGGTCTTGGTGGCGATGATGCATGGATTCTGAGGCATGTAACGAGCTCGRTTCACTTCTCCCTCATGGTTGATCTTGATCTCAATCTCTATTTTTCCACTTACAGAACCAAAGCCTCCAAACTCTGAAACAACAAACGCATAATTAAATGACACACGTACTGTAACCGTTACAGAACCTGTTGGATGTGAAACACGTCGCACAGAACATCCCTCACCTCCTTTCTCGCTGTCATAGTGAGAAGCATCAAACTGGGCGTCGTCATTTGGAAGCTGAACGCTGGCGATTACGAGGTGATTCTGCTCATCGGATGTGTGCGTCCCTAAAACCAGCCTGTGCACGCTGTAGTCCTTTCCCTCGGGTCTGTGGATGGCGACGTGACACGTCAGGTGCAACGTTCTGTTTGTATTTGCATAAAAAAGTCTGGACCGCATCCCTGTTCTCACCTGGTGACATCTGGGAGCCACTGAGCAGTGAGGCTGGGCCACTCCAGGGCATGAGTCATGACCAGATCATAGAGGAATGGTGTGTTCTTCTTCCAGATCTTGTACTCCTCATTAATCACCCTTTCCTCCACAGCATCATCAAATGCAGCTGCAAAATAAATAAAGCAAGCTCAAGCTGTTAAAAAAATACTACCTGAAACAACATGCCAACCACTTCTCCCATATGGCTGTCATTATGTATTATTTCCTTTACAAATAAATATAAGCATAAATAAGCTAACGGAAAACCACATCACTACAAAAACATATACTCAAAACACAGACCCACGTCCATCACAGTTATTCATTAATACAAAGAAATCCCGGTGTAATCAACGTGTTAGCCGCTAGCAGCTAGCGTGCGGCTCTGTAACAATGAAAGGAGATGTTCGGCAAAAGCGCCAACCACCACCGGTCCACCCGGACTTCGGCTTTTTATCATCCTGTACGAACAAATACGACACGTTTAACCTTGTAAATCACGAACAATGTCCCGCTTACCGTCTTTATCCGTCATTGCGCAGCAGCTAATTAGCTAGTTCACGCAGGAAAAAGAGGTATTTCTTTACGAAAAAGACAGCGCGAAGACCTGCAATGGCGCCAACTCCACAGAACACCGCGAGCCAATCAGCACGCGGCAAAGCGAAAAGGAAGTCGCGTCGGCAGCGTGTTACTGCATCCGGAACCTCCTCTTTCCTGGTGCGTTTTGGGACAACATGAAAACCCGGAATTATCATGTCGGAGTTATTAAACGTAAATACAAAGTTGTTTTTCTTAGTTTGCAACTCGAGAAACATTTCATAGTGAAATTTAAAAATAGAATTGCATATACACCTTYATCAGTCTGTTTAAATAATGCACGCAAAATCATTTCGTACTTGTTCTTACGTTAAATGTCAAAACACTTTTTAAATAATTTAGATAAATATTTTTACTTATTCAAGCAAATACTTATTTTCTGAAGATAACATCAACACAGTAAAACCAGTAACATTCTTTTTGTTTTCTCTTTTTGCACAGTTTAAATAGTCGAAGCAAGATKGGAGAAAATTGCGTACTTTTAATTTGAGACCTTGAATGCAGCACTGGACTCTTGTAACATCGACGATGGTGTAGCTAAAAACAAATATTTTAACCTTTAAATCAACTTTCTGCTACGATGGACGACCGTCAACTAGACCTGACAGAYGAACAGAAAGTTATCAAGTCAAAATACCCACCGATCAACAAAAAATATGAATGTAAGTTTGAAATAATTAGGAAAATAWGCTGTTAGCTTAGCTTTGCCTGATGCAATGCCAACACAATTATAGAAACTCATCAACTTTTTCTCAGCGGATTTAAATGGTCAGAATATCACTTAACTCAATTATTTAGGTAATCAGCTACAATCAATTAACTTGTCGTGTCAACTTCTGTTTTATAGATTTGGATCATACAGCAGATGTACAGTAAGTATAAGTTATTAGATTCTGGAACATGTTTATCTAATATTCAGTGGTCACCTGGATTATTAAATGTATTTATCTTTCAATCAATCAATCAAAATGTTATATCACTACACACCAGAAGGCAACCAAAGTGCTGCACAGCAGAATAAAAATGCAATAAAATAAAAGCAGTARTTAAAATTAAAACAAAACATACTGCATGTGCTCTCTGCAGTTAAAAGCCACAGCAAAAAAGATGAGTCTTTAAAAGATTTAAATTCATTAATTCTTCTGCCAGACAATCTTTGGCCACCCTGCTGAACACCCCCCCCTCCACAGTGAAACAACATTTAGGGGTGCAACAATCYTCTTGAACAGCTGGTGACAGTGTTTAACAGTTTGAAACATTACCAATATCTATCACTGAAGAAGAGTAATGACAATGAAGTGACTTTCTTTTGGCCTTTCCCAAACGGTGGACACTCCCAAATGGAATGAGTAGGGCGAGGGTGTAGCCACTGACTGGGAAAGGCCCTTTATATACAGAACATAATGCCTGTAATCTGACTTATGGTGTCATTTTTTTTTTTCATTAAAAACATAAATGTTAAATCAAAACTAAACAAAACTACTGACAACAAAATAGAAAATGTCCATACATTTTTATCACTAGACCAGTGATTCCCAAAGTTGGGGTCTGGACCCAAAGTGGGGTCCCGAAACATCAAGGTGGGGTCCTGAAAATATTTTCTGAATTAATTACATCTTTGCTTTAGTCGTTACAAAGGAGTGAGGTTAGTGCATTTAAAATGGATAAATGTAGGATTAAAAAATATTGTTACTATGCCCATATTTAGTTGCAAATGTTTATCATCCAAAAACAGCTGGGGGCACAGGTCTCTGCTACTGTTATTTTGTGGGTCAAAAGCTGAAAAGTTTGGGAACCACTGCACTTTGGTTCCCAAAGTTGGGCTTGGGACCCAATTHTGGGTCATGAAGCACCTTGGATAATCTCCAGAAATCAATTTAAAGGGTAATAAAATAATTGCTGATGTAATATTTTCCCCTATAACTATTACAAAAAACACAAAATATGTATAAATAAGTATTTATATTTGTGTACAAGCTGTTTAGATTGTCAAAAAGCCTGTGTTTTTAGGGTTATTAACAGAGTTTGTGTACACTCTAAAAATGAAATGTTGGATTTACTTAACCATGTTATGTGACCTGGTTCCACTTAACTGAGTTGAGTAAATTCAAAGCAACATACTCATGTTCTTTGGCTAAAAAACTGGTATATTGCTTTGAATTTACTCAACTCAGTTAAGTGGAACCAGGTAACATAACATGGTTAAGTAAATCCAACATTTCATTTTTTACGGTGTACTCAGACCAGTAATTTTTGGGGTCAGAAGTTTTTGCCATGGATATTTTGTGGGTCACAAGATAAAAAGTTTGGGAACCACTGGGCTAGACGACCCAGTATCCACAGCTCACCCAGGCTCTGTAAAATTAGCATTTTACTCAAACTAGAACATTTATTTTATTTCATTTTTCTTTTCTTTTAAGATGGCAATATTCATGTTTTTAGAATATTTATTTTTATCTGACCAGTAGGAAGAAACAACATTGTTTGATCATTCTGAATCCATTTAGGTGTAATGGTGTGGGTATTGTGCTCACACCATCTTGTCCTGGTTAACACACAGGCAGCTGAATTACGGATTAATTCCACTACAAATGGAGTTGCAGTAATCCAGTCAAGAAAAGATAAAATCATGAACGACCCGCTCAAGGGTGTCATGGGAAAAATTAGGCTTGATCTTGCTAATAAGCCTTAAATGGTCAAAACTAGGCTGTGTCTACTGCCACTGATCTGTCTGTCAGATTTAACCTTGCTGTCCAAAATAACCCCAAGATTCCTGATAACATTTCAGTCTGAGTCCAAGGAGCCATCAGCGCTGTTGAATGCTATCAGTAGGTCAGTTTTCTAAAACTTGGTGACCTCTCTTTTATTTTAATTTAGACAAAGAAACTTTAGCTCCATCCATGTTTTTAACATCTAAATAACTCCAACAGATGTTGAAGGTAAATAAACCTGGATGTCATCAGCATAAAAATGAAATGACACCTTGTATTTCTTAAAAATAGACCCCAATGTAAGCAAATAAAGAAAACAAAATGGGGCCCAGCATGGAGCCTTGAGGTACCCCATGTTTAAGAGGGCCCTCTGTGGAAGAAAGCTCTCCAGTTCGGACAGAAACAAAATCTTTCAGACATATAGGACTCAAACCATTTTCAGCAGTGATAAAAAAAAAAAACATGATCTGCTTTGTCAAAAGCAGCAGTGAGATGAATTAAAACAGCAGAAGCACCACAATCGACACATAAAAGCAAATCCTTGCACACCATGAGAAGAGCTTAAAACCTTAAAACAGTGACTTAAAGCCAGACTGAAATGTCTCACAAATGCCATGCACCTTTAAATGGTCCTGTAGCTGAAAATAAACCACCGTCTTTCCAGAATTCACTCCTGGGGAGACTCCTTGGAGGAGGCCTTTGAGCAGTGTGCTATGGGGATGTTTGGCTACATGACAGACACAGAGACGGTGGAGCCAGTCGATACTGTAGAAGTGGAATCAGAGGGTGAGAGTGACTATTTTTGGTTTAGGATGCTCAGCGTTTGTCATGATGATAGTTTCAGTACAGTAGCTGAATTGTACAACGTACAATGTTTTGAAATTGTGAACATTTATTTTTCCTCAAAAGGTGACGATATGGAGTCCCTCCTCTTTCACTTTTTAGATGACTGGTTATACAAGTTTAGCGCCGATCTCTTCTTTATCCCGAGGGTGAGTTGTCCTGTTGTTGAGTTCTTAATTCTTTGTTTTCTTCTCACATCATGCTAAGTTGTCCCCGCTAAATCAGTCACAATAAAAAGCTCTAAGGAGAAAATTCCTTTAAAGGCTCGATGACGTTTAAATGCAGTTTATGTGATTTTACTGGATTAGCCAGTCACACCAAAATAGAATTCATACGAGCTCGTTGAAGAAAGATAAAAGGAAAGACTAGATATAGAGTACGCAGAACAATACTTGACCTTTTCATATTGTGACGTTATAATTCAGCTTATATTCTTTTTCAATCTTGTGTTTGTTCATTAGGAAGTCAAAGTTTTGTCCCTCGACAGAATGCATTTCAAGATTCGCTCAATTGGGTAAGTTTAGACCTCCTTTTTTACAAAAAAAGTACACGGCTATGTCTTTTTAGTGTAGCAGATTTGTCCTATTTAGCTAAAGGGATAGAATAAAGATCTTTGTGTTTTAGGAGGTTTGGATGGAGAAAATCAATATTTTATTTTCTTATGTTTTTAAAAAGGTGGGGTGAAGAATTTTCTCTGGGGAAGCATCCACAGGTAGGCCAGTCCAAAGAACTGCATTTATACAAAAAAAGAGAAAATAAAAAGTGGATGATTGAAGCTACTTATTGTTATATCCTGTGTTTTCTTTTAAGGGAACTGAGGTGAAGGCCATCACATACTCTGCCATGCAGATCCACGATAAAGAAAATCCAGAAATATTTACCATCATTGATATTTGAGGAGACCTGCGGGGGCGGATCACACTCCTGGTTCATTAGAACTGGATGAAGTTTACAGCTGTTTGAAGTGGCCTTTTATAATTACATGCACTGATTAT